CCGCTGCAAGCGCGAGCGAAATCAGAAGAGAGAGTCGAAGCACTTGACCACGCTTATATTCTGTGCAATTGTACAAGTGCACGTTTTTTCAGTTTTTCGTATAAAACAAAAAACGATTATGCAACTGATGAAATAAGTAGTGTTATAATGGAAGTAAAATATAGGTACAAAACGCCACAGGGTGCGTGCCGCCCTTTCATCATCATCATCAACAAACTTTTTTGCCGAGCAAAGAGATGACCGTCATGACGCAATCTTTTAGATCATGAGGAATACATAGAATTCAACGATAGTGAGGTTTGTTTTTTGTTCCGCTTCATTCCTTCAATTTATGTACAATTTTTTGGCGCCGTCAGACTAAGAAAAGAGGCTTCGATCGACGACTCCAGTCACTCCTTTTCAACATTATAGCGAGAATCTGCACCTTTTATGGCGTTGACTTCAGACCTGTCGCTCTGTTGTCCGACCAGACAACGTCCACTATTCACGCAGTCCTTCGCTCCTGCCAAGGGAAGTCCAACGTGTGTGTAACTTGGGTTCTTATCACCGCAAGTTTACAAATCTTCAAGACGAACAGCCTCAAAACTAGATACTCTTTTCAAAAGGACATATTTCGTAGCAAAGAAGTTATGTCAATGGAAATCTACCTTAAAGTTGATGGAACCACCTTCAGATCCAAACTAGAGACACGTTTCGGATCTTTAAATTTTTGAGAAACGATAAAAGGACAGGCCACCAGTAAATCACCCCATGTTGTTGACCCAGGTCTACTAATTGACTGTCAGCTTTTGCAAGTACTCCTGAAACCGTTGCTTCGACATTCGGTGACAACTGCTGGATGGTGTGACTAGAAATGCGGCCTGGGATGTAGACACCCAAACATTGATTAGAACACATCACAACTGAAATACGGACTGACAGAAAGGAAGCTGGGTCGGGGGTTGGACAGTGTAGGTTAACTCAGTATTGATCGAATCTTCAATAATTGCCACTGCCTTTGCTGCTATATTAGTCTGAATACGTGTTTTAGTCTGAATTTAACAAGGTCACTCAAAAGTTGATCATTCTGCATGGTCCAGAGTATAGAGACTTGGGCTGGAATCCAGAATGCGTGGTTGCGTAGTTATAACGGCAGTGGCCGTGGAGCGGCGTACAAGTGGATTATTGTGGTTCTGTTGAAGTTTGTATGATCCTTGTGATTGTCGACGCGCATTCTAAGTGGATAGAAGCGGTGCTCACTAGAATTGCATTTACTGCTATGATTGTTTCCGATAACGGTGCGTTATTCACCAGTGTGTGATTTCAAATGTTTTTGAAAACCAATGGGACGGAACCCGTTTTGGATCTTTTGCAGATAAACCCCGCCACTAATGCAAAAAGTGCACGTGCGAAAAGTTATGCCCGGCCACCTTTTGCCAATTTAACGTACGCACACAACCTTGACCTATTTTTTTGATGAAAAGTTTTCCCCATCTGCATCTAGGATCGTTTTGTGCAAAATTTTCTCCGTTCGGACGTAAAACCTCAAATGAACTTTCTGACGTCGAGATCGATGAAATGCTAATATCTCGCCGTAAAAACCACGCAGTGCAGGGCGAGTCCTTCCCCAGTAATGGACTTTCAGAGAGATCTGCCGGGAAACCAAAATGTGTTCATGTATGCATTGCCAGATCGAAATGCGGCCACTTTGATGGATACAATCCAGGCCTGCATCGCTCCCGGCTCAGTCATCATCTCTGATATGTGGGCATCTTACCAAGGAATTGGAAGGAAGATTGACTTGAATTATACTCATGAAACGGTTAATCATACAGAAAAGTTTGTGGATCCAACCACTGGAACTCACACATAAACCATCGAATCTCTTTGGCACATCTACAAGATCCAGAACAAACGCCAATGCGGCACACACCGATCTTTAGTGGGCAGCTACTTGAGTGAGTTTGTCTGGAGGCAAAGGTACCGGAAAACAGAAGTTTTCATGCACATTATTAATGACATGTCCTTTTTCCCCAGTTCAATAAAAAAATAAAAGTAAAAATTTCATATCCTCTCTTTTCGTATAGTTTTTGAGGTGGCGGGGATTAATTTTTTGGCGGGGCTTATCCGGAAAAGGTCCCTGTGTTTTAAAAGCATCGTACCAGCCCGCCTCTAGTGACCTTGCTGAAAGCGCGGTGGCAACGGTTAAGAATGGATTGATGAAACAAAGCCCAGGTCCTCTAGAAACACTTCTAGACAAGTTTTTCCTGCAGTGCAGAGTTACGCCGCACACTACTACAGGCCAGGCGACCTGTGAATTGTTAATGAGACGAAGACCTCGAGCACGTTTGGATCTGCTACGGCCGGATTTGGCGGTCAAACAACGTTGGTGTTCAAAAACGCAGATAAACATGCCCAAACTCGAACAATACGAAGTCGCTTGGAGGTTTAAGTCAAGCCTCAGCTGTCATACAAGGAATGGGTATGTGACTTCGGTAAACTTTAATCTTATCGACATGTTATTAGAAGACGAGAGAATAATATACCGTCATTTTATCATTCTTCGTCATTATCGTTCCGTAAAACAGATATTTGTTAGTGTACTAACACACCCACAGGGCACAAAGGCATGATGCGGAAGTTCCGTTTTTTACCACTCCCACAAGAATCCAAGGAAGCTGTTGAGCATTATTTTTATCTCAGAAGTTGTATCAACATCAGGCACACGAGGTCCCTCAAGAATCTCATAGACCAGAATCGAGCTTGCTAATTCGTGACGATAAAAGGGCTTGTCACGTAACTGCCAGTAATGAATGATAACCGTTAGTCGGCCAGCCTGTTTGGACACGCCTAACTCAGACACATGATAAATTCGGTCAACTCAATAGGGTTCGGTTGAACGGATGAAAAACAGTCCAAAATTAATTGGAAAACATTACAAACGTTTGTACAGCTCCGCACTCTTCGCTCTAGGTATTTTCTTTTTCTGAATTACGCTCGAAATAGATACGGCAATATATTTTCTGTACTATTTATACTATCTATCTATATCTATACTATCTATCTATATCTTTATCTATACTCACTCTAGTGACAAAGCGTTATCAAAAAGGCTACCTTTTGGTAGTAGCCCGGTGTAACATGAGATCCAAAGTAGATCAAGCGTCGCGACGAGAAACTCAGGTGTACAACTTTTCGTCATCATTTTTCTTCAACGCTCCAACGTTCTTTCAGTTGTATCTTGGAATCCAAAATATCCTGTCTCAGGCTGCCCGTCGGTGCACATAAAATAAATAAATAAATAAATAAAATAGGTCATCGCAGGAATTGCTACCTGAAAGGCCGTGTGTCGGCGATTGGTTTCTTACAAAGCCATAGGACATGAATTGTTGTACAATAACTTTTGAACTATATTTCAAAACACCCGTGAACTTCACACTCGGATGTGCTAGAAGGCTTCATTATCGCAATGAATCGCAACAAACATAAAACACGTTCACGTGAACGCCAGCACGCATGAACAAAAATGCGTTCGTCGAATGTTACCGTTCATTTTGGTTGGCTGGTCAGCTTTACTTGGGTTGCTGATACGCGAATGATGGAATGCATGCTGGCGACAGACTGTACGGTAATTGAGTAGTGAATCAATAGTGATGTAGGTCATCAGGTAGCCAATCCCAAACAAGGGCCATCTACTTATCATTTCGTGAGAAAGAGTATAGCTCCACTTGAACCGTGCTTGGACCAATGGACTTATGGGTTCCACTTTCCTTTCATGCACTGGCATGTCTCATCGCCGTGGCGATTGTCGATTCAGAGACAACATCAGGTGAGAAAGTAGTTGTCCAATAGCAAGGTGAATAATTTCAAAAACCTGAATAGGCTTAGTAGGTTCGGTTTGAATAGGTTTTAAATGTTAAAATATAAAACAATTAGAACCTGGAAGTGTATGCAAAGGTGTAGCTTTGGAATTTTTCGACCTGAAAAAGTAGAACCCGTCCTAAGATTTTATTCGTTTTATCAGATATCATATTGTGTGGTTATTTTCAGGCACTTCTTTTGTTCGACCGTTTCCTCACAGTTTTTATCAGTGCTACTACTAACAAAAATGATGTAAGCATACAGTGATGACAGACCCACAATATCCTGACTTGAAACCGTGGTTTTAGGCAAGACGTCCGGATATTTCAGGAAAAAATGGGAAGCGCTTTTTGTGCACTTGAACTTTTGTAAAATGAATAAATCACTAACTGGGGCACCAATTGTGCGCACAACACACATAACAGCGGCTTAGACTGTTGTTGGCTGTAGGAGCTTGACAACTATTTATCTGTTTGCTTTATGGTGAGGGGTCTGTGGAATTTGGTCCATGTTCTTGTGCTGTGCAATATCAACCACCCCTGGTAGAACAACAATTGTTTCAAAGTCTTGTTCATTGTTTCTTGGGTCGAAACCCTTCCATACGATTGCGATTTGCTGACTGCTAATGACTGAAAACAAAGGAGAACCAATTAATTCTGCAGTGTTTCCTCTGGAAGTTTAGCGGAGACTGATTTCGCCTGCAGGATGAGTCTCCTCCACATCATCAAAAATTGCCATCGGCGTCTTTCACATAGCATTTTATATGATTAAGAAAATTCGGCCGCCTCAATAACCGCCTCATCCTTCTGGTGCCTCATTGGTGCTCGCTGAATCCCGAACTTCCTTCAGCCTTATCGCAACATAAGTGTTCTGGTTAGAAACAAGAGCATCCCACAACGTACATGCGCCTTATTCCTGATAGGATATTACAGGGTAGTGCAGACGTAAAACGACGCAAACTGTACTACTAACATATAGTTGCACTCCATTCTCTAAGCGTAATCACTCATGCCCTTGATTGTTCACTGGTGGGGGAATGCCTTCCTGCTCAAATTCTCTGTTTTGTTTTTCTTGGTCTGAGTTTCACTTTACAGTGTTTCTTGATCTTCCGGCAAAGCTACGCTTCATTTGTAAGGTAAAATCTATACCGAAACCGTTACATAAGTCATCCATTTGCGGAACAGAATGCAGTGGGACCTGGGGAATCTCCTGTTTAAAATGTTCCTCGACCGAAGACATCTTCGGACTGAGTTGTGTCAATAGTCCAGAACCCGGAGAACTTCCATTTTAACGAAATTCCCTGCCCCACACATTAATATCAAAGTCCAGCCTGCCTTGATGTTGCTTGGCGTCTTACCGTTCAAAAGAGGGTGATCAGTGAATTTTCGCAAAGCATTTTAACTTGAATTAGCTCATTCTTTTTCCAATCAAGTATCACATTGTGCTCTCAGATGCAATATTTTTCCCACGCACCGAGGGTTAGTTCAGCGCGGACTATGACCGGTAATCGGCTGATTGTAAGTTCGTTAGACGAGTTCATTTGCAGTTTTGTTAAACTATTCAATTTCTATTCGGTAAGACCACGGTCAATGACCAAAGACATGCATGGGTAGCTAGACAAAGGGGGCCATTTCGTGAGAAATTCGCTTAAGCTGGGACTCAACTAAATCAGTCCATATTTGTTTCTGAGTGACTTGTTCTTTCTAAAGTCTACATAGCATGGGTGCAGGATATGAAACTAACTCAGAACTTTCGATTGTTTCTCTCTTAATTTTCTACCACAATTTATTTCCAAACATCTTATTAGACCTATATGCCACTCACATTTGTGAATAGTCGTTCTTCTATCCTAGCGCAATCTTCCTCGTGAGTCTATTCCAATACGGCAGCGCCAGACTCGAATTCCGCTCATATTAGACTTCACCAGCAGTACGTTTCCTTGATAGTGCCGTGGCTTGAACCATGGATGTCAAGCGAGCGTGTTTCCAGTACACCGGTAGCGTACGGTGGACGCGACTGAACTATCACGTCTAAAGAGACGAATGTTTTGACGTCTGAGTTCACAGTTTATAATGAACGAAATAGATACCTAGTACGTGGTGAGCATTGAGTTCAAAACGAATACACCGCATTTCTATTATTGCACTGAGCAGCCAGTAGGTGAGTTGATCTGATTGTAGACAAAATACAAGCAGGAAATTCAAGTGGAGCGATCTAACCAACCTCTTTCATTTGTCTAGACAGTGTGTTTCACCAAGAAAGTAATTTACTACTACAGTAATTTACTACTCATATTGATCTGATTGTAGACAAAATACAAGCAGTGGGCCGATCAAATCAGCCTCTTTCATCTGTCTAGACAGTGTGCTTCACCAAGAAAGAGGAGTATCGGAAAAACCAAAGCAACTCATTTGCTTGAACAAAGTAAACAACTACTTGAGGATGATGCTATAACGTCAGACACGTCTAATTCGTTGAGGAATTCCTCAGGACTCTCTTTTATTGCTTGTGTCGGTGAAATTTTTTTCAAAATGTTAACTGAAATTTTGATTGTTACTTTGGATCGGATATCATGTTGTCAGATCGTATTTTGTGACATAGAAGTTGACTAATTCGAAACCCATCGTAAAACCTCGTATCGTTTTCGTGCCAAATTTGGTCACTTTCAGGCGCTCCTCTATTACCGTTTTTCAACCACGCAAGTAACTTGCTCGTTTAGTGGCAAGACAATTACTCATTGTTCACGAAGCCCTCATTGCTTGGCGGAGACGGAACTAAAAACCTGAGGTGTGTTGCTAGAATCGGAGAGCTGAATGCTGTTTAGACTACAGCCTAAGACATCGTGAGGTAAGAGGGGATCGGGAGTAGGCAAACTAATTCACACAAATGAAAGATGATAACTTCGAGAAATACACTCATTTGCAAATCAATTTGATTTTCACGAGAGACTCAACTGAATCTCTCTTTTATGATATTCTATAACTGGATGTACTGCACACAGACCGCCTGATGATTCAATTGGCACGATATTCGAGATATCGCAGTATATTTTCATAAACGAAACGAGAAGTTCAGTTGAGTCGCTCGTGAAAACTAAATTGATTTGCAAATGAGTGTATTTTTCGAAAACAGTCCAATTTGGGTCCAAGGAGATCATAACATCGACGGAAACTCCGGGGCTGTCGAAGAATTTTCAGCAACCTTGTGAGCAGTTAGTTTCTTTTAGAGTGGCAAGTGTTCTGTAATCACCAACGCTGTGTCTTTCCGACCTCCCCTGAGGCGATTGTTGACGAGCTTACATACGAGATTAGGGGCGATTCCTGAACATGGCAGACCGTTGGAGAGGCATCATGAGTGTATACGGAGCACGTACCGAACGATATGCGGGGAGATCCTGTTGAAAAACCAGCCAAACTATACCAGTTGATGTTTTTGTCAGTTTGAAAAGAAAGATAAAATATTTGGAAATGAAAATTTGGACTACTTTTCGATTGGTGTATCAAGGAACTCGGGAAATAGTCACTTCATTACAGGCAAAACTGAGTTTCTCCGTCTTTTGTAGATACATCAATTTATACCCTAGATATCATGTTAATTTGTACAAAACAATGAAATGCTGATGCAGAGTCCAGCTGATCGTGTCAGGTATGGTCCACGTTAATCTACCCCGGAAATTCGCAGCAACGCTAGTGGCGTGAAATGTGTATTCCGCAACATTAGCGTCATGTAATGCTTTGATAATTTGCTGGACTTGTGGCTAAAATGTTTATCATAGCTCATAATAGTCACAATGAGCAGTTTTGAGAAAAACGCATAACCACATTCCTGAATGTCAAGCTAACCAAACGTGAAAATGATTTCTAATACCTGAGAAGATTGGCACCAATATAGGACACGCAAGTATTTCACGTGTAAATCTTCAGCTAATATCCCACAATGGTGCTTCTTCACTAGTTACCTAAGGTCTGGATATTGCCGAAAATGGGTCAGCAAAGTTGGTGTATGGTTCTTGATGCCATCACGGACTTTGTCACATCAAATTCCGTGCACCATAAGTTCACAGCCTCAAGACACAATTGATTCCTTTTTGTGGCTAATTTTCTCAGTACGTTCAGTGAAATTAACGAGAGTGGCTACAACATGACGCCGCAAAAGATCGGTTTGAATAGAGCACATGGCATTGTCGGATGAAGTTGAACTCAATGGTTAGAGCGCGAACTGACTGACTGGAAGGTCCTTGGTTCGAACCCGACCTCTGTCTCTCGACTTCCCTTGTCTAGGCTTGGACAACCTGACAGTATTCCAACCTTTGTGTTTCTTTCGGGTGGCAGGGCAGTTAGGTACCGAAATGGTGCTACAGTTGAACGCTTACACCTGGTTATCTCGCGCGACAATATAACTATGGGTCCCTGTAAATCTACGTTTGAAGAATCACGAGAATTTGAGGGATATTAAATGAACATGATACGACCTGTGATGCTGGAGCACTCAGGTTGGTCTGGGTGAATTAAGAGTGGTTACCGTCACTAGGACTTTGAAGGAGGGGCAAAACAACAGCAAAAACCCTTGGACAAAAGAAGTCCGATGCGAAGTGTAAGGTAACCAAATAGGCAGAAGTTGATACCAGCGATTAGTAGTAAACAGGTAGTACGGACATCTTGGTTATAGACTGTCTTTAATCGATCGCTGAGCTTCCGCACCTACAATTACAGTTTCTTACAATCATCACGCGCTTTCGTTTTTTGTGTGCTAAAATTCCATCAAAAGCAGAAAACACGTCTTCAGTGAACATCGGGGCGAGATGGACCCAGTGGTTAGAGCTCGAATTTACTGACCGGAAGGTCCGTGGTTCGAATCCGACCTCTGCCTCTCGAATTCCCCTGTCTAGGCTTGGGCAACCTGGCAGTATCCCAGCCCCCGTGCCTCCTTCATGTGGCATGGCAGCTAGGCACCGAAAGGGTGCTACAG